CGACAACCGAGGCAGAGTATGTAGCTTGTTCAGAAGCTTGTCATGAGGCAATTGGACTTCGCAGGATATATGCAGATCTTCTAAAAAATGTATCACATCAAGATGAGAACCACCTCTGTCACCCACTTCCTCCGACTATTATACTTGTTGACTATCAAGGTGCTCTGAATCTGGTGCAAAATTCCCGTTTTCATTGTCGAATGAAGCCCATTGAACTCAAGTATCACGAGGTGTGTGAAATATATCAGTCCCATTAAATTGATATCCACTATATCTGCACACGCATGATGACGGCTGATATACTCACAAAACCTCTCATGCAGGAGCTTCACTGCAAGCATGTCGGTGGTATGGGTATGCTGAGTTCAATGAGGGAACTCCTAGACTCTTATAATATTTTATTTTTCTTTCACTTGAGATAGGTATTTGTGGAGGATGGGCATGTATTGGGTTGAGTACTCTTCCTGTAACTCCTGGAACCTTTTTTCCTGATCTCAGGTTTTTGGACCAAGAGCAGAGTTTTAAGGAGGCTGCCCATTGGTTGAATTATTCCTCATTTTTTATTTATTTATCATCATTATATGTTTCGTTCAAGTTAGAGATATGGAACGAGAGGTGGTATTGCATCAGCATTGCATATCTGGTTAGTTATGTGTTTGGACCGATCACTATGATGTAACCATGAGTGATAGTGGGTGCTGGTGGAAATGAGGCCACGCTGTACACAAGTATTGGGTTGCGGGAGCGAGCTTGCTAAGTATATATGGAGGAGCTTATCTCCACTTTGTAGCAATTAAAGTCAAGAAATCTCAACAGTGTGTATGCTGATGTATTCACCGCTACCTAACGCGACGTTCCATGTGGTGGTAAACCAAGCCCACACCTCACCAGCAGTGGATGCAAAATAGTAAACCAATATTCGAAATTGAGGTGGACAGGATGCCGAAAAGAACGGACAGGAAGTATGATGAGGACGAGGTAGGAATCCAATGACTCCGGTCGCCAAAAGAGATAAGAGTGAAGAGTACCTGTTCCTGGAATCGAAATCGAAGCGGGTAGCATTTGTGAGTACAGATTCTTTCTAGATATTAAGCACGGTGACCTACTCGGTGCCTGTGATAAAGGTGGGAGCGTTCGCGACTGCTCGACCGCTCAATACCTCTAGTCACCAGCTTTTTCAATGGATTTTGTAACGCTGACTACGATGCACTACCTCGGGATCATAATCGACGGGATAGTCTGCGGTGTGACCACATTTGCTCCTGGGCACCCAGGTGAAGCAGATATGAGTAAGTTCATTGGCGGTCGGAACTACTCGCGGTAGGTATATCTTCACCCTCCGACTTCAACAGTCATATCTGGGATTCAGGGTGTTAAGTCTGGTGCAAACGACTTCTGTTAATTCTGGAAGTTCATACCGAGAGACAATTAGAGGAGGTTAAGGATGAGCTACGTGTAGGTCGGAGGGAACTGTGGGAAAATATGTGCCCACGGCTAAAAAGAACTATATGGCTCAGGCGAGGGGGAATTGCTAGTGGTGATATGGAAAAGTGGTCATGGGATCCAACTCGGGACTCTAAACCTGGTGAGCGAATTCCCTTCTCTTGGCCAAATTTGCCAGTGCATTTGTTACCAATGAATTGCCTGAAAGCTCATTGACTCTCCCAACAAAACAGCGCTCTTCTCAGTATCTTCTAAATGGAGTATCCATCTCTCATTCCGATCTATGCTCAGGAGAAATACACTTGTAGATGCTGTTGAAATTCACGTAGCCTTTTTGGTCTGGGTTACCTGGTCTGTAACCCGGTATAAAAACGGCAATGCATTAGTTTGGTTGGAAAGATGTTTGAACCAGGGTTAGTGTGTTTCAGGAAGGAATGTGAAGGAACACTAGATGTTTGGGGCAGGAGTTAGTTGTTGCAGCATTATCGGAGTGGTGTCGGATGTTGCATGAGCCAGGAGATGGAGAGCACTAGGGCATTAGTGTTCAGCCTTCTTGAATTGTGCTACGGTTTGCGTAGTACTAGGTTACTGTGAAACGTTTGGAAGAGACAAGAGTGTTTTGGAATTGTCTGATGCTACAAGGAGAGGGTTTCCGAAGACCCTTGAGGTAGCGGCTGGAATCACTGTGGATTCTTCATGACAGCAGAGACAGATAGTGCGGGTTTGCGAACAGGAGAATACCTCGCTGCAAGGGAAGATATTTGTATATATAGGACACCTCCGACAAGGTAGAAAATATAAAGACCAAAATTGACTCTCCCCCGAACATAGCCTATTTTATTAGATGCTACTAAAGTCCAAGGCACACTGGAGGCTGTACCTCGGAAGAATTCCAGCGAGGATATAAGGCGCTCCAGCCAACGAAATTTACCTATGATACAAACAATGGACATAATTAGGTGTTCCAGAGCTCCGGAGAAGTTCACCCTAACCCCAAACCGGACCGACACCTCCGTATCGCGAAGGGGACAAGTCCCTACGGCGTTCCGGAGACCGGAAATGTACTCACTTCGATCGGTCAAGATTATCCCGAAACAGCGAACCTAAGAACGGATTACCGATTTTTTCCCCCGAGGAAAGGTTACCTTGCTCAGGTGTCATGCCACTGCACCGCACATGTGTGCTAATGCCTTCCGTCACGTTGACCGCGGTAAATATCTCAGAAAGGTCGGCACTACATAGCACAGCGGCTCGAATTGTGGGTACCAGATCCACTGTTCTTTCCCCTATCGATCTTGACAAACTGAATGGTAGGACATGATTAGTATCTCTTTCCCCTTTGCCTGCCGCATGTCCTATTGTACGGCGTCAAGACAAGCCCTGGCCTGCTCTGAACAGTTATTATGCGGCAAGAAGTTACCGTAGGTAGGTAGGGCTCAATTGAGCCAGTAGAAGGAAATGGGTGTCTACTGGTGACTAGGTACTATCGGGCGCGGTGCAAATGATGCACGAAGTTCCCGCTCGTTACAGGTTAGATCTTTGGCGTGTGAGAAGCAAGAAAGAATCAGTGCGCGAATCACCAAAGTGAACCAGTCTTTTTCCAGTAATTCCGTGATCCCCGATTCCGGACTCCACGTTTAATTCGTCAGGTCGAGTGATGACTGGGTCCAGTGAAACTCCACCCAGCGTATGTAATAGTTGCATGGTCGCAGATTTGTACGAAGAAATAAATCCCCCAGTCAGTTTTGCTAAGAGTTCCGATCTCGGAAGTGTTAGTATGTGAGGGCTGGTTCTGCCGGTGGTTGCATAGCGGGGGGAATGGTAGATGGTTTGGGATCGAGACAGACCTATTAAAGGGAAGAACCTCCAGAGAAAAACAGAGTCCTGATGGTATCTAAGAAAGGGAAGAAGGCTACCTTATTGTTATGGGTTTGCTCCGTCCGCTGACCCGCACCTACCGAGCCAACTAAATCATGACAGTCCCAGTCTCAATTCCCCTAGCAAACCTACATCCCTGTCAATTCTACACAAACGCGGGTCGGGCATTACGAGCTTGAAAGCCAGAATAACCACACTCTCTCATCCATCGGGAACTCCTCTTACAAACGTCGACGAAGTCATCTCAGACGGCAAGAATGCTCAATTCGCACCAACCTCCATATTCGAAGCTCCCCTGAAGCTCCCCTGTGTTACTCTGCTCCCACTGATATCAGGTAGGGATGTACTAGCTGCAAATGAATTCAATTCTAGTGGGTTCGGCTCGAGCGGCAAGATTGAACAATCAATACACCCAGTCATATTCACCAAACTGGCCACAAGCATTGTGGCGTGTGCGAGTGAGATATTCCCACACGCAGGATGGACAAAAAGCTTGGACTATGAAGGAGAGATTGGGGTGATTCTGGGGAAGGAGGGCTTTGGGATTCCATAAAGTGTTGCTTTGGATTATGTTTGGTTTGAATATCTCTCGGCTCGTTTTCGCGTGAAAGTCTTCGAAGCTAATGTTTGTTCATAATTGAGGGGATATACAATGATAAATGATGTATCGTAGGTGTTCCGGGAGATATATTTTAGTGTGGCGGTAATGGTGACACTACGCACATAAGTAATCAGTGGCGAGGAAAGCGCAGGAAAAAGGAGGACGCAGGGCGAGGGCTCGTCCAAGGACCCCCCCCCCAAGAGCAGCGTATTGCATTATGCAACACGTGGAGAAGATAGGAAGACAGTTGGGTAGTAAATTTAGTGCGGTAGCCTAGTAGGAAACAAGATAAATAGCTGTGTGATACGAGCAAGGTAGATAATTCGCGACCCTCCCCATCAAGCAAGCGCATTTGCGCCGGATATTCGAGAACAAAGAGAGGTGATTCATTACCCCAGAGACAAAGGAATGCCGGACTATAATAATAAAGAATGGTAAACATCTACTAGAGTAACGATGCGCGAACAGTCGGAGCTCGTGGTAACCGACGCCGGACCCTTCCAAGAGCCATTGCCACAGTTCTGACACCATCTCCGCGGGTTATGGAGTGAAGGAGCAGCATCCAAATGCGAACTTTCCTCAAGCAAGTATCTCGCGGATTGGCATAGAACAGTGAGTACTTGCGAGTATCTATTGACAGGGGTCGATCAAATATGCCAAGGGGCGCGACGCAACCGATAGGTTCAATCCGGTTTTATTATCCTGGCCGGCTTGATTCCTTTTTTTTTTACGGGTTAGCAAGTGCTTATAATTCAGGCATTACAATAACTTGTGGTGATACATTCTCGCCAAGTTCCCCACTTTACCCAATAACACAACGTGATTGAGGCGGATAGGGGGGGGGTGGGGGTGTCTTTAGAATTGGCTTTTCCTTTGAGGCCAGGTGAGGCCCGGTTCGAGAGGCATCCGCTGAACAAATATATACCGATATACGCTTGAATGGGACCTCTCCTCGATAGCCACCGCCGCCATCACCGCTGCTTACATTTTATCAGTTATTTGGCGGCCAAACACGGGCCCGTCGTTGGACACCAATAGAAAACTGATTACTGCTCGCCGGGGTAACCATCATCCACTTGTGGACAAGAGAAGTAATCGGTTGTAATGCAGCTGCGCATAAAGGGAGAAATTCCTACGCGAGTAGCAACCTTACATTCATTCCCCAGTCGGTGTGCTATTACCGATCATAGTCTAAGTCATTGTATTCATTGAGAGGGGTTGTCTGGAGGTTGAGGTTACCCGGCACACCATCCACCCGTAGCAATAGAAGCTAACTTAACGACGATTTATCTTCCGCTTGTCAACACCACCGGTTCATGTCCGCAACGCGACCCTACCTACAATCAGAATCCATCACCCACTTAAAAGAAGGTCTTGAACACACCCCACGGGCGTGGCCCTCCAGGTCCAGAGGACGGTGCCCAAAGCTCAAATGACCTCAGTGGCACCCGTCGTGCCTGTTGCGCCCGTCGCACCCATCGCTCCAATCAACACAACTCCTACTATAATCGCTACCACACCAACTACCACAACCACAACCACAGCCACATCTCCACCCCTCGAAAGCAGATTCAGTTGGGACGACATGGGGGCCGACCAGGAAGAGGGGGCAAGCTCCAGTCAAGGAGGTCTTCGGCTCCTCCCACCGACGACATGCAAGACACCAGCTATCATACTTCTTTCTCTGCATCAGAGTACGAGCCACCCGACTACCCGGAACCGATACCTAGGGCGCCAGAGTTTGCCAAGATAAGGTCATCTGCGGTTGTATCGGCGTCGGCGTCCGCGCATAGATCCTCTTCCTACTCTTCCGTCGCTCCTGCCACTGCAAGCACGGCCAGAAACCCCCATACCCCAAAGCCGAGATCTTGTGCCGTCAGGTCTGGCCCTGTAAAGAGGTCAGGCTGAGCCTCTCCTGTGCCCACGATCCTCTGGTGTCCAGTTAATGGCTGCTGTCAGACCTTCACCAGCGGCAGCCCGAGGCAATCACTTTGGCACCACCTGAAGCACTACTTTACGAGCGGTCTCCCCGACAAGGAGGAGTTCGAAGCTGCACACAGAGCTGTTCACGCAGCCGTGAAAGAGGAAGGGGAACCTCCATTGCGCGCAATCGTCTTTGCTCCTCTGACTATCGCGGGAATAGCTTTGAGAAGGCGAAGACTTCCGCTCGTCTTTCGAAGCTTTCGGCTAGGGCACGGAAGAAGGGGATTACCAACGAGAAGGTGATCCAACAGAAGGTGATGCAGAGGGAGAAGGAATCGCAGGAGAAGCAGGCCAAGGAGGCTTCGGATCATTTCTCCAGCATCCTCATGTCTGCGTTTGAATAATGGATGGGAGTAAACAACAAACAAATGACAAAAATGGAGAATAATAATTCAAAATCCAAGGTGGAGAGGACAACCTCATTCATTCCCCCCGATATATCATCATCACCGTACACCATCCGATAACTGAAGTTCTACCAACTGCTCTTCCCTTGAACAGAGCATGGACTAATGAGAAAAAACATTCCACGCTTTCGGAGGCTAGCTCTCCTCCACTCATGACCCGGATAAGGAACAGTCACCCCAGTCAGTGTGGGAAAAGCGAGTATTTGTCAAATGAAAGACATCATTTCTGATTTCTCTGAACGTTTAACTTATCTCTTTATTTTGTTTTAATCCGGCCATGCTTTGCTATTAGTGTGTAATCTTCCTGTCTCCGTCCATCATGCTATTCTCTTCTCATGATTCAAAATTTGCCCCCCCCGCCCCCTTTTGCTCTTTTTTTTTTTTCGCTTTGGCTTTGGCGGGTGTGATGATGAGCGTTTGGTAGGACGGGTAAGTCAGGCAACAGTGTCGCTCGACCATGATGCACGAAGATCAAAGGAAAAAAGACACCAATATTCGAGATATACCCCTGTTCAACAACCAGCCACCACCACACTGGTCAAAGAAAAAACACAACGTATCATAAATCACTTTCAATTTCCCTGCAGATTTCTTTTGCCTTTTTTTCAATCTTTTCCCCCTCCCCCTTTTTTTCCTTCTGTCTTTTTATCTCGAGATGCAATTGGTATAGGTCCTACCTTACTAGCATTCTGTCCTTTTCTCCAAAAAAAAAGGGGGGGGAAACAAGACAAATCTCTCACAGTTTGTCTCATCCGCAGGAAAGGTAGTGGTGGGTTTGTTAAACTTCAACTTCTATTTTGCTACCCAATAGACCGCAACCGACGAACCGAGCCGAATACTGTATTATACTGGCTGATCATTTGATTTGAATGGTGGTGAGTATTCTCGGTTTTTCTTTTGGGGGGGTGGGATATCATACGTGGGTATGACCTGAATAGCGGGAGGGTCGTTTCTGGTCGCTGGGGCGCAGCCCGGTAGAGGGGGGAAGGGAAGGGATAGTATCCAGTACGTATGATAGATGTCATTGCAGACTTGACGTTTCCCGATGAGTATAATATGTATCATACTACCCTTCGATCGTGAAACCTCCAGATACGCAGGGGCATGGGAGTAGGGAATTGTTAAAGAATCCGTTCGTTAGAGGTGTCACAAGTCCCAGAGGATGCTCCTCGCGGATCATCACCGAGCTGCACAATACTCTAGAGAGATGCACCACCACCTGGTCCACCCGTGATCAAAGGGCTTTGCCTCGGACTGAATGGTACGGTTAGGTTAGCAAGTGTCAGAGCCAAGCGGTTGAAGCTATGGTGTGGAACCTACTTGCGGTGGCGGGGGACAAACATGTCCTCTACGATGCCTGCCGGGAAACACATTTCTGACAAACTGTGGACATCCTATGGTATGGTTCCCGCCTGGCGTAAGACACTGGCATGGGTTTCCTCTGGTGTCGTTACCCCAGGGTAGGGTCCTGCAGGTGGCTTTCCGGTGCGCTTGGGTTCGCAACTTTTGTAGATGCATTGTACTGGATGGGGAAAGAGAGCAGTGATGAATAGATAGTTGGCGGAGGTTGAGGGCGTGTGTGAGGTCCGGCTGGGATTTGGGCCCTAGTGAGGGATGTGTTTATGATTTCAGGCTTTGCTCCCATCCTAGGAACATTGTAGCGGCGCCTGTCAACCTTTGTCGGGGAAAGAAAAAGATCTATGGTAACCAATCGCCAACCCTACATACAGCCCCGCCCGAGAACAGAGGAAAGTATTCACAATAAAGTGCCCACTCTAGCATATCCTAACGTAACAAATATGCGTAGGAATCCTGACATGCCACTTCTTCCGATGCGGTAACGGGAAGCCATACCTAAACCCAACCTTCGCGGTCTCCAGCTCCTTAACACACTACTTCCACCTGCTGACGTCGAGCACCTTCTCCTTCAGTTTCCTCTCATCGGCCCTCTCCTTCTCCGCCTCGCGCCAGCTCATCTCCATCCGGTCCCGCTCCTCCTGGCGCGCAGCACTCTCCGTAGTCAGCACATTCTCAAACCGCTCTTTCGCAAGCATAACAATGTCAGGATGCGGGACCGTCACATCCGCAGCCGGCAATCTAAACTCCTTCCCAGCATCGGCCCTGGTGAATTCCCTACTCTCACTGGTCGGAACAAAGGTCTCTCTCCCTGGCAACGAATGGAGCGGTAATTCCTGGATATTCTCGAACCTCCCACCACCACTCCCACTCCTGCTATCAGTGGCATTGGGAGCATTGATAACGGGCAACATCTGATGCAGCGCTTTTTAGTCAAAAAAGTACTCAATTTTCAGCCCCTCGTGATGTGCTCCTGCTCCACCCGCCCCAGTCGCACCACCGCCGCGGCGAGCTCGATGCTGACGCTTAGCGCGGCCGATACCGAGCGGCTGGAGTGGTTGCGGTGCTTGACGCGCGTGTAGATCCCCTCGCGTAAGGCGTCGGAGAGCACCGGTTGCGATTGGAAGTACCGGTTGAAGGAGTAGGGCTGCACCAAGGCGTCCGGATTCCGGGTCTTGTCCTTGCGTTCCCCGGTTGAGCGGTCGTCGGAGTAGATGGATTACGGTTAACCGGTGGGCGTTTTGATGGCTCCGCAGGGGCTGGAGAGCCAGGGGAACATTCCGCCACTAGAGCTGTTAGGGCCCTTTTGTAAGGTAGCGCTTCTGGCGAAGGTTCATTTGGCTATTGTTACCATTGGTGGTGGTCGGAGGGGCATGTTCGGTGTTGCGTGCTTGGGTGATAGGATGCGAGAGACTTTGGGGGTGCCTGTGGTCGTGGTGGGGAGGTAAATCGGGAGGTGTCTCTCGATATCACATGATGGCCAAATTTTGTCAAGTGATGGGAGAAGCGATTGACGACCGATGATAAGGAATGATGAATGAAGACTTCCCTATTTCTATCTTTATCACACACCCAGAGCGAAGGATTCCCGCAATCCCGCAACCAAAACAGCACGGAGACACAATAATGAACGGAAGCGGAGAAACCTGTCTCGTGCAGCAACCCTTTCCGATCCATCTCCATCTTGCCCTTCCGCTCCCACTCTACCCCCTCCTTAAACCCCCTCTCCACACTCCTAAGCTTCAAAGTGAACCGCGGCCCAAGCTCCTGCAACCCAGCCCTGATCGGGATATTCTCATTCCCTTTGCTCCTGTTCCCGCCATCTTTGCCCCCATCCTCAAGCCCGTAGCCCACCGGCCTCTCCGTCTCGCGCCTATCGCCGAAGATATACCTGTGCCGGGAGAAGAGGATGCACCCCCGCTGATTGTGCAAACTAACAACCTGCCACCCGAGGATTCCTAGTTGGCTTGGAAATATAGACTGGAAAATATTAGATCTAACCTTCCCAAGCGGTGTTAGGAAATTGTTCAATATCCATTCGGGCACATGGCCAGCGCGATTCCAGTGTCCTCTGATACGCCTTGGAGGAAAGTAGTTTGTAAGGCTAAAGTGAAAGGTTGGCCCCGCGGTGGGTACGACTTTTATGAGTGCATTTATGATCTTTCGGTCCTCATTAGCCACCAGTATATGTGTGTATGGTTCACGCGGAAGGCCGGATGAGGTTGTGGCTGTTGGGTTTGAGGCAAATGCGCTGATCCCCTCAATGGAGAACTTGTTCTAGCGGCCGCAGGGGATATACGGCGGGTTTGGGAATAGGTGGGGGAGATGTTCGTCTCTGTCGTGGAAATGGCAGTTCCACAAGATGGTGATCGGGATTTTCGGAGCGGAGGTGCTAGGCGGTGTCTCCTGTGCCGGTAACAACGCTGCTGTCTCTTCCTCTTCTACTTTCTCGGCTTGCGCGCTTTCTCGTGCACTGCTACGATTTTGCCTTCTTCGTCTTCCTCTTTGTCATCTTCGCGGACCTTTTACCGTTTACCGGCCCTGTCCTCCTTCTCTGACGATGGAATTTCACTGCAGTTTGGGATTCCACTCTCGGCTCGCTCGTCCCAGACTCGCTGGAATGTACTTCAAGCGCTCCTCCCGAAGAGTTAGGTCTCGGTATTCATCTTGCTTGCATTGCCATCGCTCCTTGCATTTTGTACATTCGAAGGCGGATTTTACGCGCCCATTTTGTGCCTGTCTGTAGAGCTTATTTGAAAGTTTGAAGGTTCCTGAAGCGGGCTGTGAATTGGAAGGTTTCATGATTTGTCCCATGACGTAATTGCTGTTAGGAGGAACGTAAGTCTTTCACCGAAGGGGCATGGGCAATGGCTACCCTTCTGTCAGTAGAATCAAGTGACAACTGTTGCTGGCGATGATACCCGAAATTGAGATGCCTTGGTTGTATTATAGCTTGCACCGTTGTCGAACTTAAGACAAAGTGAGTGTTGTTGCAGTATGATGCAGGTGAGAAGGGGGGGATAGAGATTGGCCCGCAATTAGCATGGACCACTCTTGGGTCACCCTATTATCAGAGATGAGGTTTCTTTGCGGTGTGAAAACCTAAATTGTTTGGCTGTTCTGGAGGGGCATATTCATGTTATTGAGGGATATATCGAGAGAGATTTATGTGGTTCTGGACGTTTTCTTCCTTGGGTGGTGGAGATAGGGTTGTAGTTTACACTGAATTTACGGTAATGGATATCCGAACAGATCAGAAAAAACCGGCACAGCCCCTGATTAACAGGGTTCCTAGGTGCGGGTATACGGAAATCTTGGCGCTTCCTAAGCCTAAACCGTGCCAAGATTTCTGTACACCTTTGGAATGGGCAAGTCCTAATGTGCGGGCTTGGTAATGCATGGCGTATGTACATACCCACAACAAACACTCAGTTGATACAGCTGCTAACGTCTGGCACTCTTGTTAACTACATTCCCCAAGAGGCACG